ATTTTATCAAAGTATTATAAGAAAAACTATAATTGTCTTTTTATTGATTTAAAAATTAAGATATTTTGGTTATTCAGTGAGTTTTTATTAAAATAACTTAATTTTAAAATATTTTGTATCTAATTTTTTACAAATATAATTAATAAATATTTTAAAAAAAATGAAAATCATTAATCAATTATTAATCTTATTTTGCAATGACTAATAATAAAAATAAATAAATAAATAAATAATACCAACGACCTGTTGATTTGAGTAGAAGGAGTTCGGTTCCCTTTAAATAAAATTTCGAGTTCGAATCTTATAAATAGAGAAACAGGTGTGGGAGAACTTCTTTCTAATAGGATCTGACGTGACTTGATTTTAAATTAATCAAAAATTTAATGTGATTATCGAATATTATGAGATTAATAAAAAAAATAATAATAAACAATAATAATGAAAACAATTCTATTTATTACAGATCAGAGACTTTCTTATAAAAAAAAGTTATGTACCCCACGCCAGGAATTAATCCCACCCGGCACCTTAATTTTTGAATTCCAGAAAGTGCTCTTAGCCCGGGAATTCAAAAGCTTAACCTGAAAGCGAGGATGATTTTTCTGTGAAGGGCTACCCTGTATATCCCCATTTTGGAATTCAGAGTCCAGCCGTCCAACAACCCAAAGGACACCCTCACTAACTCTGTAACAAACTCAAAACCCGAATTTGTATTTGCATTTGCATCGTATGGTCCCAAAACCTTATGGCTATGGCTATGGCTATGGTTATCCCACGTTTGGGGCCCATTTGAAGCAGACGCACTTTCAAAAATCAAACAATTTAATGGTTTGGAAGACAGTCACTACTGACCAGGGAGTTTCAATTCGGTGCTCTAAAATTGAAGGAATCAGTGCCTTGTGTTAAAAGGAAACTATGCATTCATTTAACTCCTTCCCCAATTAAATTCTGAAATGCAAAGGTCCATGAAAAGAGGACAGCCAGTTTTCAGTTTCACCCTCCAGTCTGGCAGTTGAGAGGGCACTGCTTTTTCTCTATGTTAATATTAAAGTATTAGATGAAGAGTTACCAACCACCTGTACATAATTTTTACTTTTATTTTAAATAGTTATGATTCATCATGATTTTTTATATAAAAAAAATAAATAGTCAAAAATTTTATGTGAGTAAATTTTAATTCTGATAATAAGTATATGAGATGAAAAAATTAAAATATTTTGGCATTTTTATATGAAAGTATTATCTTTAAAAATTTTCACATATCATTAATGAATCTTTTTTATATTTTGATATTATTTTTAGAATTTTAATTGTTATGATGTTGTGATCTTCTATCATTTTTTTTGGCTATCCATTGGTAAAATTTATATAGGTTTCATTTATGTATTTTTTTATTTTTTTTTTGAACATATTTGCAAGGGGCGGGTTTCGAACCCAGCCCAGGGGAGGGGGGAATGCACCGGGTGACTATTGCCATTAGATCTCAAAGGCCAGGTGCGATCTTCTACCATCTTTAACGGCTATCCATTGGTAAAATTTATATAGGTTTCATTTATGAATACTGTACTGCATTATAGTTATAGTTATAAGTTTTTCTCTTTTCATATTTCATAAATATATAAAATATTAATTA